CCACATAGTTAACTAGTGGTTACTGAACATTCACTCTCACACCTACTCTAACAGTACCACATAGTTAACTAGTGGTTACTGAACATTCACTCTCACACCTACTCTAACAGTACCACATAGCTAAGTACTGTTTACTGAACATTCACTCTCACACCTACTCTAACAATACCACATAGTTAACTACTGTTTACTGAACATTCACTCTCAACCTACTCTACCTGTACCATATAGTTAACTAGTGTTTACTGAACATTCACTCTCACACCTACTCTAACAGTACCACATAGCTAAGTACTGTTTACTGAACATTCACTCTCACACCTACGCTAACAATACCACATAGTTAACTACTGTTTACTGAACATTCACTCTCACACCTACTCTACCTGTACTACATAGTTAACTAGTGTTTACTGAACATTCACTCTCAGCCTACTCTACCTGTACCACATAGTTAACTAGTGTTTACTGAACATTCACTCTCACACCTACTCTACCTGTACCACATAGTTAACTAGTGTTTACTAAACATTCACTCTCAACCTACTCTACCTGTACTACATTGTTAACTACTGTTTACTGAACATTCACTCTCAACCTACTCTAACAATACCACATAGTTAACTAGTGTTTACTGAACATTCACTCTCACACCTACTCTAACAAAAGCTATACCTACTGAGTAGGATCTGTAATTATGGTAAAGAAAGTTTTAGTATTGATATTAACATTCAAGAATCTAATTTAAATACTGAACCTTTCTTTACCATTAAAACTTGTGTGCTTGAGAACGATCACACCAGTGATTGAAATGTTAGACCTGTTTTAAACATATTCTTCCTTACTCTAAAAGCCATCACTTGTAATGAAATAATACTGTTCAATAGTGTTATTTATCTATGTTTTCTAATGGATGTTAAATTGAATTTAACTGTTTAAGACATCTTATTAATAATTTCTAGGTGTAAATCAAATGTTGTTGGACGTAAATGTGATCGTTGCAAGCCAGGCTATTGGGGATTTCCCAATTGTAGGCTTTGTAACTGTGACCTACGAGGAACAACTGAAAATATCTGTGATCAACGAACTGCAGAATGTTTCTGTAAGGTAAGGAAGATAGGAGGTAGTGTTGTTGAATGTTTGTGTAAGGTACAAGAATACTGTTGAATATTAGTGTAAAGTACAATAATACTGTTGAATGTTAGTTTAAAGTAAGATGATACATTTCAGATCAAGTTAAATATAGTTACACAACTCACCATCTGCATGACTAGTGTATTTTCAAATATACTTCAGATTTGTTTAAATGATTTTCCATTTTGAGAAGAATAATCCTACATTCAGCAAGCTTTACAACACACTAAAATAATGTGTGACGGTGAACCCTAAAGTAATGAATAGGTCAAATCAAAACAAAACCTTAGAATTAGGAAGATAGATCACCAGACATCTGCTTCTGTCTGAAATAAACTGTAAGTATATAATTGTTTATGTGTCATTGTTGCTGTACTTCTACTTTCCATGAGGATGTATTTATTTGTTATTTGAAACTTGTTTACAGGAGAATGTGTATGGCCATTTCTGTGAACAGTGTAAACCTGGAACTTTCCATCTTGAAGAGAATAATCCACTGGGTTGCACAAAATGTTTCTGTTTTGGAGCTACAGACCGTTGCAGCAGTGCATATATATTCAGATCTAAGGTGAGTCCAAGTGTATAAATGGTACAGTTTGGTTATATATATTACTTCAATAATGGGGCCAAGATTAGTTCCATGTCTGAAGATGTTAGAATGTATTTTGAATATTACATTATAAACTGAGGCCCAGAGGCTTGTGTAAAATGTAACTATAATCTTATGTTCATCAGAAGTGTTACTGTGTTCTACATTACTTTATATTCTAGGATTGTAACCACTTAGTATATTATGTTCTACATTACTTTGTATTCTAGGATTGTAACCACTTAGTATATTGTGTTGTACATTACTTGGTGTTCTAGGATTATAACCACTTAGTATATTGTATTCTACAGTACTTTGTATTCTAGGATTGTAACCACTTAGTATATTATGTTCTACAGTACTTTGTATTCTAAGATTGTAACCACTTAGTATATTGTGTTCTATGCTATTTTGTATTCTAAGATTGTAACCACTTGCTATATTGTGTTCTACATTACTTTGTATTCTAGGATTGTAATCACTTACTATATTGTGTTCTACAGTACTTTGTATTCTAGGATTATAACCACTTAGTATATTGTGTTCTACATTACTTTGTATTCTATGATTGTAACCACTTACTATATTGTGTTCTAAATTACTTTGTATTCTAGGATTGTAACCACTTACTATATTATGTTCTACAGTACTTTGTATTCTAGGATTGTAACAACTTACTATATTATGTTCTACATTACTTTGTAGTCTATGATTGTAACCACGTACTATATTGTGTTCTACAGTACCTTGTATTCTATGATTGTAACCACTTACTATATTATGTTCTACATTACTTGGTATTCTAGGATTGTAACCACTTACTATATTATGTTCTACAGTACTTTGTATTCTATGATTGTAACCACTTACTATATTATGTTCTACAGTACCTTGTATTCTATGATTGTAACCACTTACTATATTATGTTCTACAGTACTTTGTATTCTATGATTGTAATCACTTAGTATATTGTGTTCTACATTACTTTGTATTCTTGGATTGTAACCACTTACTATATTATGTTCTACAGTACTTTGTATTCTAGGATTGTAACCACTTACTATATTATGTTCTACAGTACTTTATATTCTAGGATTGTAATCACTTAGTATATTGTGTTCTACATTACTTTGTATTCTAGGATTGTAACCACTTACTATATTATGTTCTACAGTACTTTGTATTCTAGGATAGTAACCACTTAGTATATTGTGTTCTACATTACTTTGTATTCTAGGATTGTAACCACTTACTATATTATGTTCTACATTACTTTGTGTTCTAGGATTGTAACCACTTACTATATTATGTTCTACAGTACTTTGTATTCTAGGATTGTAACCACTTAGTATATTATGTTCTACATTACTTTGTATTCTAAGATTGTAACCACTTAATATATTGTGTTCTACAGTACTTTGAAATCTAAGATTGTAACCACTTAGTATATTGTGTTCTATGCTATTTTGTATTCTAGGATTGTAAGCACGTAATGTATTGTGGTATAAATTACTTTGTATTCTAGGATTGTAACCACGTAATGTATTGTATTATAAATTACTTTGTATTCTAGGATTGTAAGCACGTAATGTATTGTGTTATAAATTACTTTGTATTCTAGGATTGTAACCACGTAATGTATTGTGTTCTATTCTATCAGTATTGATGACAGAAAATAAGAATTGTGTTATATTCCTTGTGTTACTTTATGTTGTTGTAAACTTGTTTCAAAGGTTGTGAGCATGAATGGCTGGAAGGGAGTAGGCCTAGTGATTGACAACCAAGTGGGGAAGGCCGATCTTGGTGTTCAGATTGAAGAATCTGGTTCAACAGTTAGAGCATATATACCTGAAGAACTTCCCACTGGTTCTTTATTTTACTTTAAAGCTCCATCTACTTATCTCGGGAATATGGTAAGTTAATGTTTTCTCAGACACAAGCTTTTTATTGGATGCTGATTACATGATCTCATCTTAGAATATGTGTGTGTTAATGTTGATTTAATATTAATTACTTTATAGTGTCTCCAGTTGAATCATTGGACACTAGTTAACTATGTGTTATTGTTAGAGTAGGTGTGAGAGTGAATGTTCAGTAAACACTAGTTAACTATGTAGTATTGTTAGAGTAGGTTGAGAGTGAATGTTCAGTAAACACTAGTTAACTATGTGGTATTGTTAGAGTAGGTGTGAGAGTGAATGTTCAGTAAACACTAGTTAACTATGTGGTATTGTTAGAGTAGGTTGAGAGTGAATGTTCAGTAAACACTAGTTAACTGTGTGGTAACATAATTACTTACAGGTTGTAATCAGTAGGTATAGC